GAGAAGAGGATTAACAATGAGTGACCCAAGAGAACCAAAGGTGCAAACTTCTATGAATTTCTTGGAAAGCAATACCATTTGATAGTAACAAATCAATAAAGTTCCTACCAGAATAAATAACAATCATTGTAATTCACTACAGCCACTGTGGCCATGCATTATAAAGGTGCATGTACTGCAAGGTGGAATCAAAATTTCACCATAATGTCATATTGTATCCACAGTTGAGGATCTTATTCATACGCGAGACTATATAAACATCAGCCAGCCATCAGCACTGGTAACCTCCTTAAAATGTGCAAAATACTTCACAACTAAATACATAAGCAGAAGCAAGAAATTCAATCAAAATAAAGATGTTGCCAGAACTATCAATTAATTGAGTACCTTCATATCAGCCAAAGCTTGTGAAATTGATTCTTTCGAATTTAAGTATGCAAAAGAGCAGACAGAACCCCTAAAGACAAGAACACCAATAACATCCTTCCGGCTGCATGCTTCACAGCAAATATATAAGTAAATAAGCATATAATGTTAAAACCAGAAAATCAAATAATATCTAAAGCACAGCAAAGAACAGCCTAAACTCCTACTCAAGGACGAAGAATAAATTCCAAATTTACATTTGGCAACTAGCAACACACCTTCTAGAGATGTATCTTGCATGAAAGGTAGAAGAAATTCAACTTCATGTAAACCATCTGATGCACACTGCTCATCCTGTGTCACCTAAAAATACATGGAAGACTAAACATCCTCAGGCAAAGCTAAAATTGGAGATAGTCTAACCAACAAGTCATGCATATACGGTGTGAAATTTGCATGAAAGGTAGAAGAAATTCAACTTCATGTAAACCATCTGATGCACACTGCTCATCCTCTGTCACCTAAAAATACATGGAAGACTAAACATCCTCTGGCAAAGCTAAAATTGGAAATAGTCTACCCAACAAATCATGCATATACGGTGTGAAATTTGACTATTTAACTATTTTGCAGGCTAACAGGCNTGATGCTCAAAGTTTCAACCCCAAATGGAGCAAAAGAAGTTCCTTTCTTGGCAGTAGCATTAACTGTATTGTAAGTGTCAAAAAATTGTTGATACATCTCACAAGAAATTTGATCTGATCTTTTTGGAAAGAAATGTTTCTGAACTATCTTCCGATCTTCTCTCTGCAAAACGAACAAACTGTCCAAAACTGAAGTGCTTCAATCGAAGACACTTCGATGCTTAAGTCAGTAATAGTGTTTAAAGCAATTGCTAGAAGAAAATGAGAGTTCAACGTACCTTTCACCTTGGTTTTCTTTGTTTTTTATAGATGATCATCCCATTAAGGTTTCAGTGATTTTTGATTTAAGGTGACACATCTTCCTTTAATTCAACAATTCAGTTTGGGAAGATGTTGATATTTCTCTAACAATTCCTCCTGACATCTACAATTTCGTTGATTCGTTCATTTAAAATGTCTATGTTAAATACTTATCTTTATCTTTCTATCTTCTGTTTCAAACAGCTCGGTCATAATGAGATCCGAGTACTTTTGATGCTTGTCGAACATATTGATATGTTTGGTTTAATAAAAGCCAAGCTCTTTTATCACTTTGTCGATTATATTGGTCAGTTCGGTTAGACCCATTTGCCCGAGTAACTGATGTCCTCGTTACGTGCCTCGTTTATCAATTTCGCATGAACTCATTTAATACCACAACACGTATAGTAGTGAAAGCAAACCCCTTCATGCATAATAGTTTTTATAGGGTGTGTTTGGGTAATGAATTAGAATAGATTACTAATGTTGTGGGTTCCATACATCTGGTGTTTGGCGAATAAAAATTGAGCCAAGATATAATATTGGATCAAACCTTAACCCGAATGCTATTGTAATTTTTACCTAAGTTACACGAGTTAAATGTTACCCCTCTTTTTTGTTGATAACGTTACTACACACCTTACCCAAGGAACCCGATCGTCACTTTTGTCAAACAACTCGTCAAAACAGACGAATTGCTGGTTGGTGAAGACGTTCACAGGCGACGATCGACTGACTCGAGGTAAGCCTCTCTCTCTCTCTCTCCCTCCTTGTGTGGAGCGAACGACGAGCAGATCTGGTTGATGAGGTACACCCAGATCTGCATCGTCCCATCCTGTCTTTGTAGAACTTCTGCCTTCGTTCGTCTTTGGTGAGTTCCGAAGCTATAAAAATGGACTCTAGGAAATGCTTTGGAGTGTAGGAAATATTTAGATGTTAACAGATCTGCGACGAACAGAGGGTGATAGAAACAGACCTGCTAGTACCCAGTTCACATTTGGTAGAGGCTTAGGAACAGATGTTTCATTCTTGAACCGGGTACCCAGGTGAACTGTTACTAAAAATCTCCACTACCCATTTCACATTTGGAAAAGGTTACAAGTTTGTTTGATTTTATTTGAGAGTTTAGATGGTTTAGATGTTTCT